GCCGAGATCAAAGGCGAGGCGAAATCTCGACAAAGAAACCACTCGCGAACGAAAAGAGGCGGATGACAGCGCGTAAGAAGAGGGTGACGTGGGGTGGCGATCGAGGTAACAGGGGATGACGATGATTCCTTCTATCGTTCCGCCGCTATGGGAAATCACGCGAGGACTATATACCGACGATCGTTAGGGCGATCGGAAAGGGGGATGAGAGGGTGGGAGGGCGCTCTTCAGGAAGACGACAAAAAGGGAGGCTGCTGGTCGTTTGTTTGTTGCGACTCTTAATGGCCGTTCTCGGACGAGTTTGTAATTGGCGCGTTTGCACGCGCTCTTTGTACACCGGCGTCTCTCTTTTCCCTTTTACTCCACCGTCGTTTCTTCATTCTTGTCCCACCCCCGACTTTGTTCGTTCGCCTCGCACTTGTCGCCCCTTCTTTTTTCACGGGAGGACACGTCTCGTTCCTTTTTCCGTACCCGCGACTTTCCTGCCACCCGCTTCGTATGTTTTCTCGAGCTCGTTGACGCTCCGTGTCGCGTCGTATGTCGCCCCGTGTGTTTATATCGCCGTCTCTTACTGCCATCCCCATCTCGTTTGTTTCTTCGTGAATTCGCGATTCGAGAAGGAGACGCGTTTCGTTCAACTCGCCCTCTGATGATCTTTCGACGCCTCGCTGTCTGTCTAAGCTCGTCGTTTTTCACTCGCGTTCGCTCTAATTCAGCTATTAGTAATCCCGCATCTCGGGCTCAACTATTGTGATTCGTATATACAAATGGCTTGCGTGCATTTGCCTAAACTCGATCCATCGTTAAGAGCTTACTTTTTAATGAAAAGTAATCTATATTAATTATTTTCTTCCTCTCCCTGTCTTTAATAAATTATTTCACACGATGTAACTAATTGTACAAATTCCTGACATTCTGATATTTATAATATATTGATTTTTTTAAAATTATTTACTTAATGTAAATATATTATTTGAATCTTTTGTTGTGACAACATATCCGGTTGTAGATTACTGTCACGTATTCTCTTTATATATTCAATTTTAAGGAAACTGTATTATGGCCTCGCATGCACGTACGAATTATTTTCTTTCTCTCCCTGTCTTTAATCAATCATTTCACACAATGTAACTAATTATACAAATTTCTGACATTCTGCTATTTATAATATATTGACTTTTTAAAATGATTTACTCGATGTAAATATATTATTTGAATCTTTTGTCGTCACATATTTTTGTTGTGACAACAGAAGATCCTGTTGTAGATTACTGTTTCACGTATTCCCTTTATCGGTATATTCAATTTTAAGGAAACTGTATTATGGTCTCGCATGCACGTACGAATTATTTTCTTTCTCTCCCTGTCTTTAATCAATCATTTCACACAATGTAACTAATTATACAAATTTCTGACATTCTGCTATTTATAATATATTGACTTTTTAAAATGATTTACTCGATGTAAATATATTATTTGAATTTTTCGTCGTCACATATTTTTGTTGTGACAACAGAAGATCCGGTTGTAAATTACTGTTTCACGTATTCCCTTTATCGGTATATTCAATTTGAAGGAAACTGTATTATTATGGCCCTGTCCCTCGCACGTACGAATTCCACATTGGGGGATTGCTTTTGCGCGCGCGCGTGAGTAACGCGTTGGCGTACAAGCAGTAAATACGTAACTCGTGTCGTCGTCGCTCACTAATGCCGCGTGAGCGGGGCTCGCATTTATACGGCAAGTTATCCCCAGCTGCAGGTACACACCGTAACATAATTTTCCACCCCCGGGACACACTTGTGTGACCGCACGGCGACCCCCGACGAGCGATTGCTGGCCGGACGGTTCTCGAGATTGGCGATGGTGGAGGATTAATCGAGCTCGCACAATAAATGATTCCCGCTTGTCGCGTCGCTTTCCCGCGGGCTCATCCCCTCAAAAGAGGAGCGAGATTTGTCGCACGCTTGTTGAAATGAAAGTTTCCTTCCAACGCGCATAAAATATGTGCTATGATTCGAGTTGATGAATAATTTCGCATATAAATATATGCGCGTAGATACAAATCGATACGTACATATGAATTAGCTGTACAACTTTATAATTAAACCGATATATTGACATGCACATAATTATAATTATTAACGATTCACTCGTCTTTATTAAATTAATTAATTAAACTAACTATTGATTTTTTATAATTTTTGCACTTGAAAAGGATTTAAATTTAAGGTCGAAACGTAGTGTACTTCATATCTAATAAAGACGAATTATTAATTTCCTTATTATTTTTTAAATTCTCTCTGGCGATGAATATAAATCTATTATTTAAATAAATTAGTTGAAATATGATGTGTGAAATATTTCCTCTTCGTTTTTATTTATGTTTGTGAAACATCACATATTGAAGAATTTGCTGATAATATATGCATTACTTGAATTGCATTAATTTGGATAAAATTTAATCACAGGAAAAAAGATAGTTTAAAACACAGATTTTTAATATTATCTTATGCGTATTTCAAAATTATATATACTAATCGATTTTTTTCATTGCCTTTAATATTGAGGCGATTTATGTTGTGAGATTAAAGTTATTTCTAACACTCTTATTATCTTGAACTTCTTTTTATGTAATTAATAATTACGAAGAGAAGTAATAAATTTATATATTATGAAACAAAATGTAAAACAAATATTTTCAAAATAAAACTTTGATCATCTCGAGATTGCATAAAATAAAAAATAATTTTATATTTTGCTACCATGCGCAATAGCGGAGTTATAATACAAAACATTGATCTATAAAATATAAATATATCCAAATTTGATATCTCTATGTATCATTGTATATAAAGCAGTGTTTAAAATAATTAATATTATAATAAAATAATTATTCTTTGCATTTTTCATGTTCGTCCTTTAAACAGATATTTAATAAAAAAATTGCATAAGCCTCGAAAAAAAATTTTCTATATTAATTTGTGTAAAATATTTAAGTAAATTTTTTATAAAAAATTATGTAAGTAAAGATAAAACTCCTAAACAATGTTGATAATAATTAATATTACTTTATATAAATTTATATATGTTACATATTATTAATGTTTAATTGTTTTAAATGTTTCAACTCAAATATTTTTTAATGATTAAAAGTATTTTTTTTTTAAATAAAACTTAGAAATAATACATAAGTTATAATTACTCATTATTGCTCTATCGTCACTCCATGCTTTTTCGAATTTTTTCTTCTCTTCTTTATCCTCTGCTTTTTCATAGCACTCATACAACACTCACTTGCGAAAACATAATTAATTACGAGCATGTGCATACTAATTAATAGAATACGAGGATCATGTGGCACTTTATATTATACGTTAATCGCATGTGACATACATTTTGTTTATTATATCGAGAGAATAACGTGACAAACAAAATTATGCGTTAAATGAAACTACGATTAATTTGACACTCGAAAATTGTGCAACCAGATTCATACTTCAACTTGTCAATGGTATCTTTGTTGCTAGCAAAGAGTACAGTATTTTAGGCCAATTTTATGTCATATTATAACATACAAATAAATTGACTAATATAAAAATTGAAAAGAAATATTCGCAGATTGCAATATTCAAAAATAATTAAGTTTGTCAATTCACATAATAAATTTCAATTGAATAAATCTTACGAAATACTCGTTTTGACAAATTACAACGAGTACAATGTACAAATGTGAAATTTATATTAACAAATAGAAAATTATTAAATTAGCAATGTACTTATTTATTAATCGAATCGTGACATGACCGAAATTGATTCATCCCCTATACACTTTATTAATGATTGAAAGAATTAAGAATGATATATTATTATTGAAAACTCACTTTTACACGATATTACGCGAGTCTAATTAGTATAATTAATGGTTATGTATGATATATCAGAAAATATAAATTAAAATTTAGTATTGCATGTGTGACACAGTTCAGAATAATTGTATTATTAAAAAAAAACAAACATATATATATATACTTCATCATTGAACACATCCACATTTCCATAATGGAAAACCATGATATACTTATAATATATTATCATATTTGAATTATTCGATTTGTTGATATGTGTATTTATTACTCCGTTCTCGGGAAAATAGACAAATTATCTAAAAGGCAAAAATATCAAAGCATGATTCGAGATGTATTCGAATCGAAGCAGTAAAAAAATAATTATAATTTTCTAAAAATATCAGAGTGAAACAATAATTTATTATTATAATTTTTTATTTAGAAATGATTAAAACACCTTGATACATTATTTATTTGCTTATTTAAAATTTAAAAAACAACGTTTTTGCCATATATTTTATAGTACGTAAAATAACGTATGTATTTTATATGTGGCCAAAATGTGTGTACATTAATTGCCATGCGGTATTCAATGCTTCTTACGATATGTAAACAATAGCGCGGCGCGCCCGGCTCTATTATTTATCCGCCGTGACCTCGAAGTCAGTCGCGTCACGAGACTCGAACTAGCAGGCAGCGGCGTGAGTCGCTTCGTGTATCTCATTGCATTATCTGAAATACGCATCTTCTGAAATCGCAATCACAACGAATATCAGAAGATCGCGATCATTCTTCACGATTAACTGGAGATTAACCTGCACGACTAATTAATTCTCGCGAATGACACGATTCGTAAACGTGTCAATAAGAGGTTTTCATTTCAATATTTAGCATAATAATTATTCTTTAATACTTGTTTAGACATATCTCGTATCGCGCTTTGAAAATGTTTTGCCAATTTAAATATAGTTTGCCCATTTTCGAATCAAAAATGCAAAATAAAACACAAATCACAAAATCGAATAATTTAAATAATGTAAAACCATGATATTCATATCCATACATGTATCGATTATTTATGAATAATACAATTATTACAAAATGTATTGCGTATGCAATACTCTTGTTTTTTGCTGTATATTTTTGAACGATACATTATATTTTCATTAGCCATTAACTCAACTCGCATACAATTACACGGTAGTAAAATGAGATTGCCGATGTCATTGTCAAATTTTTTGGCTATTAACGAAGTTATGCAGATACGTAATGGATCGAGCAATGACACAACGCATTTAATTAATAAGCGTAGTCGTTATTCATCTTGTATTTTAATTTATATTATCCGCGTATTTTAAAATATGTACATTGGTATTTGTCAAAATGCGTAATTCGCGAGTTTTATTCCATTATATATTTGTTATAAAAACGATCAACGAAATGACAAAGTAATTAATCTCGAATTTGCGGACATTTATCTTTAATAATTTTAATTTATTCGTATTATACGAGAGAGAAAAATTATCCTCTAGTGTAAGTTTGTACTATTTGTTAACATTGCTATGACGAGTTGGAGTGTGAACCTGACCTACCCTAACCGCACAATTTTCGAGCGTTGTGTGATTAGTTTCATTTGACACGTAATTTTCGCGTTATTCTCCTGTCGTAATATAATAAAGTGGTGTCACGTGCGATTAACATCGAAAGTATAATACAAAGTGCTGCGTGATCGTATTCTGTTGATTACTGAAGCGCGTGAATATAATTATGTGTATTTTCCCGAGTGAGTGTTGAAGTGTCATGAACAGCAAAAGATGAAAAAAAGAGGAGAAAACCTGGGATGGCATCAGGTAACGATGGAGCAATCGTGGAGTAAGCATACATATAACTTATTTATTGTTTATTCTTTTTTTAAATTAATTTCTTTTTTTTTATCTCCGTGATAATATATTATGTAATGCATATACGATAGTCTAGATTTTATTTTAAAAAACACTGAACCACTGATAAAGTATTTATATAATTAATATTTTTATAAAGCTCTATAGATATATATAACTTTAACATTGTGTAAGATTTATAATTATTTAAATAAATTATAATATAAGAAGTGAATGTTTAAAATTTTTTATCTATTTTATAAAAATTAATATAGACAAAATTTTCTTTTCGAGGATTATGAAACTTTTTAATTAAATATATGTTGCAAGGACAAATGAAAAATTCAATTACATTAATTATTTTTTGAAATGTTAATTATTTTAACTCTGTGCTTTGTATATATAATTTGGATATACTTGTATTTTGCAGATCAACGTTGTGTACACTACAACTCCGCCGTTGCGCATCGTACCGGTGAGTGTTAGATTATTTATTTAATAATTTTGATATATATATTTTTATAGAATTTCGAGATACTTATTGGATTTGTGAAAATTATATCGATTATGACAAATACAGCAATACAGTATTTTATTAATTTTATCTTATAAATTATTATTTATTTTTATATATACTTATATATTTTATTCAGATATATTTTAAAGAATGGACAAAAGTTAATGAGACTGTTGTAAATAGATATATAATCTCATATATTTTTTCTATAAATTTATTGCCTCGAAATTGATAGGACTTATAAACAAGTTTAAACAGACAAATTTAATATATTCTAATAGAATATATATAATTGTCCACCGATTTATTACTACAAAGATTACACGCACAAACTCATAGAATATTACTTATTTAAAGGAGTAAAGTGCATTTATTATAAGGTGCTGCTTGAAATTTAAACTGATTTTAAGGATGATAAAGCTCGAAAGAAGATCTACATAAATACATAGATATTACATGTGATTTAATGAAATATGGGATTTAATCATTTAATCATGAAGAAGATAATCAATAGTGTATTCGTCTGAAATTAGCAATGTCCTTGATTGTGCTGCCCCTCAGACAAGCGCCATTACCCTCTGCTTTGCGGTTTTAGCGGTTTCGCGATGAGTACGAGATCCTTCTATGTAAGGATCGCACGCGGTTTACTTCCTTATTACAAACGATGAATCAACGTCTCATCAAAGTTGCGTCCGTGTGTTTTTCCCAGCATCCAATAGCAAAACAATTTCATCTTTGTCTTATAATATTTAACCGAGTATTATGTCAGAACTATCCTTCAGCCACATACATTCTAGGATGAGTTTGAAGTAAATGATTCATTAATGAGAGATTTATGTAACCGATTATTTTGTTGTCAAACATTTAATTTTCCGCGTAATAGTTAAAGTTAAATTTTATTTAAAATTATAAAAAAAACTTTGAAACTCTTATTACAAAAAGATTTACTCAAAAAGTTATTTTATTTTATCTTGTCACTATAATTATTTGAATAAATTATTAATTAATATATTAATGTATTATATACTTTTTTCTCTTTGATTATATATAATGTGAGACTAAATATGAATCATTTTTAGCAAATATTAGCACAAAGTTTTGTTTTACGCAGTGCATCTTAAGTATCGTGCATTATGATTTATTTCGGATATCATTGCGAATATTGAAAAGTATAGTGTTGAATTATTATAAAAAAGTGCTCACAGAACCACTCGCTTTTTTATGGGTCTGCGAAGCTGTTGTCTTTCAGAAATTATCATTTCGAAGCTTGCCCCGAAGTCATGTCGGTCGTATGATCAAATGATGATACTCAAGAAATGAGGAGAGTGACTTTGTTTTTTTACTTATTTTAAAAATCCGAAAATTTTTCTTTTAATATGATTCAGCACTGCGTTGAACAAACGAGTAGATATCTTCGCAGACAGACAAAGTTCTTCGCCAGACGCACATGGCGTAAATTCCTGTCGGGATTTCTGTACCGATAGCCTTTCTCGCGCTTCGCTCCAACGAGGCGGATCTCTTTCCGCGTATGAATCATTGCGTTACGTTGCCAACGCGGTGCATTACGAATCGCGCGCATTTCCCCGGGAGACGGTTTGCTCGAGATTCAAGCTTAACTCGATGCGCTAGAAAGGAAAAGGACGAATTATCCTGTCGGAAGAAACTGCCACGTAAAGAGAGAAAGATAGGGAGAGAAACAGCGTCGTGTCGTTTCGCTCGACGGATCCCGTGTCGGACAAGACCCGCGCTTTTTCCTCTCATTGTCAGCTTGCCTTCGTCGCCACCACCTGTGAGCGCGGCTTAATGAATCGTAACCGCATTACCGTGTTGCGCAACCACGCGTGCATTACCATAATGTCCCGCGGTGACTAAGAACCTCCATCTCGTGCATCTGCGATATTAGCGTGTCCCGGCGCAGTCTGTTCATGTCTTGGGACACAAATGGATAAGCCGGTAGGGACAAATGATCATTTTTCGGTGCCTAAAGCAAGCTTATAAATTTGGAGGATTTCCAACATAGAAAGAGCTTACAATACGTATCTCATTTTCATTATTTATGGCGATACAATTATCGTATTAATAATTTTATCAATTATATTTAGTTTTATTTAAAGTTAGATTTATCAATTCTTGAATATTTTCTTATATTTTTTTTATTTTAGTTAAAAATTTCGAAAGGATACCTTATTCAATCAGTCTTTATATTTTGCCATTACAATTATTTGAATAATTAATAATTATGAATAAAATTAATAATTTTATTAATTATTATTAATTAAAATTATTAATCATTTGTATTTAACATAATAGATTTATGTACTAATTATTTATTATACATATTAGAGAGAAAAATAATGATTTGTGCAAATGCCAGCTCGTCTATATTATTTTGATATGGCATATATTTTGAGATTTTCAAATCAAACGCAAAAAAAATATTACGATTGTGTAACTGGATTTTAATTAAATACTTCCCTTTTTTTATTTTTGAAAGAAAGAAAAACAGTTTTACAGTTAGTTTCCCGTGATTAATATAATGTGAAAAAATTGCCAAGTTTTTCTAAAGTTACGACGCTTCTTGTAAGACAGTTTGAAGTCTGCAGCACAAGTTCCATTAATTTCCGTACACAGACCGCTCCTGAGATCCGGATGCGATAATATAGTCGCGCGTATTTCGCGGGCATTCTGCGTACATCGATTATTTCCGCATTGTATGCACGATATTTCTTTGCCATTTCGTGCACTTGAGCGCGATGAAATAGCACGTGCGTATATGTATATATGTGTATATGCTTAGGTACGAAAAGAATTTGACGGCTACATGCGCGATCGAAGATCGGTGTAATTAGTATTGCGCAATCTTCACGCATCGCGTATTCGACGATGGAACGTTAAATTCCTAATGGTCTTTGCGAAGTCTGAACACTCGCGTCGCGCAATTAACTATCTAGCTCGCGTGCATTTATCGCGTTTCTTTAATCCTTGTTGAGATATGGTAGAGTTTATTTTTTTAGAAAAATGCAAATTCCACTTTCTTTTGGATCACAGATCGTTATATTTAAGTACTTGATACACGTATAGCTGCGTTGTTATAACATATTTAAGTAGAAGTACAAAATGCCGTTTGCAATTTTGTAATGTGCAATTTAATCATCTTAATTTTAATGTTTGATTTTTTTATATCTTGGATATTAAAAAATCTACTTGGATTATAAAAGATGGCATAATTCAGAAATATGATATATCTCAAGCATACTAAAATAAAAGAATATCTAATTATATAATATCAAAAATAAAAAAAAGTTTGAAAACTTGTCTTGATTTTTTTTAGTTAGTGTATAACCATAATTATAATCTGAAAGTAAGAAAACGCGCAGAGGCTATCTATTTTTTTATATATAAATAATTTTTATAAATTTTTATAAGTAATTTTTATAAATTTATTATTACCAACGCGATGTACAGATTTTTTTTCAAACAATTATAAACGATTGATATACTTCGAAAATAATTTCCGCGAACCAAGCTATATGGTAACTGTATACTTACTACCGGGTATGATCATATCCGATCTGGAATTACCCGCGAGGAGGCCGGAAATCTTCCCTTTTCGTTTGTCGAAAACGACGTATACGAATTTAATGGACACTCGACGAATTCGCGCGATATAACTGGAGACAAACTGGAAGAGAGAGGTGAGGAGGTCTGGAATATTAATAGAAGATCTCTGTGTGTCCTCTGACTAATTTACTGCTTCCGTTTAAGCCGAAGTAGCTGGTTAGTCTCTAGGCATTGAAACTTCACCGGAGTCATTAGCCGCTTATTTCTTGATTAATTTAATAAATCTTTAAAATTATATTTTCGGAAGAATAAAGAAATGAAGTTAAGAATATACATAAAAACTATATCCGATTTCTAATAGAAATTCCAATAGAAAATTTAAAATAGATTTTAGTGCTCTACATTTAGATATTAAATCAGATGTATATTCTTCTACTCTTCGAGGACGGACCTTGGCACGAAATTCAAATTTATCACACATATATAATGAAGCATCACGTTAAAGTATCAGTGAGACGTCTATAGTATAGTAGAATTTTTAGCATTCGTTAAAAAAAGAGTAGAAACGAAAAGAAACAGGTACTAAAATTTAATATAGATAAATACTAAAATTATACTGATGACAAAGTTCATAATTAAAGCACGAAAATTTATTCTGGACAGTAACTTTGTTCGAACGAAATTTAATTTAATTATACGACAGTTACGATCAAGATGCATATGCATATATAGATGCAAATATATCACTTATTAAAGTAATTTATTTACCATTATATATTTCATCTCTTTATCCGTTTCGACGAATAATTCCGCGCGTAATTTAGTTATAAACGTGTGCAAAGTAAATGCGGATGTTATCACGCGGAGCTTAAATAACCGCGAATGATATACAGGAAGGAAAAACGAATCACACCGTCCCGTTCGGTCGCGTTGCCGGTAATTGCGCGTCGCATTATTCAAACGATTCGCGTGCGTACGATCGCGGTGTGTTTACACGCGTTTGCGCACACGCATTTACGAACGATGCGACGAGCGTGGGTGCACTATGGGCCGTGAGTAACGCGTGTGCATTGGCGCAGGTAACTATGGACCGTTCCGCGTGTGGGTGTAGGTAACTCGCTGCTTTCGTATATTTTGCATTTTGTTTTTCCGTAATAATACGCTCTAAGCGGTTATTCCATGCAATCGTCGATATTTAATTTGAATAATGTAATTTAATGCTTAAGTCATTTTTTTATATATACGAACAATTTTTTTCAAAATTTTGAAAGCGAATAATAAGACAATATTTATTCGTAATGTGAGATAAAAGTTTATCCAAATTAATTTTTAATTATTTATTTTCTGAAAATGTAATAGTTATTTATGTTGTATTTATTTTTAAAATTGAGAAGCGGCTTTGCTCTTTACATATCATGTAATTATATATAACACAATAATTTACTGAAGCTATGCTTTTTACATATAATTAACTATATGTACAGAAGTTGAGATAATTAGTTTTAAGTAAAAAGGTTATTATATAGTTACTTTTCTGGATTATAACAATCATAAAGTGCATGGAAAACTGCTATTCTCTTTCATATCATTAAAAAAATATCAGTTGTCGGCAGAAATGCTCTTACAATATTGACTGAACGAAAAAAAGAAAAAAATATTTTTCAATTTCTACATAGAGAGAAAAATTCCAGTCGAATTTGCTAAATGAACGGTCACGGGCTGCCGAATCAACATTTAATTACACGAGTCAGTTATTTCATTTTCTAGTGTAACGAGAATTTTTCCGTTCCCGCCTCGGTGCGTCCCGGCAAAATGTAATAAATCGTTTGAGTAATAAAATATTTATCTGTCGGCCAGTTACATCTCTACCGAAAACATCTTTTTTCTCGATTTATAGCATGAGCGTCATCGATCGCCTCGCTTTTTAAGCGGAATGAAGCCCTGGCAGTTATCGTAAATTTATCGTTAATTGAACGGCTTGTTGAAAAAGAAACACGGACCACAAATATAAATTTTATCAGAGAAATTTTTATTTTATTAAATCAATTAGAGAAAGCTACATTTATATATTAATGACAGAAGTAATCAATGCTGCTGCATATATACTGTAGCTACTTCATTATGCAAGTCGGTAAATTTATTGAAGTAATATTTTTATTCTATATATTATTTAATTTTTATATTTTTTATGAGGAAGTATCTGAATGTATTTTTATATAAGTCAAAGATTCGATGAAATATCCTATTATATATTGAAATATACTAAAAATATACTGTTGTTAGGTTATACATCTTTAATTTTAGAAAATCTAAATTTTACATGTATTTACATTTAAAAGGATTATATATTCATGAACTTTAAAATATTCGAGAGATTTCGTTTAATACTTAACTATGTCTATCGCGTTCGTTGTTAACCGAAATAAAGAAAGAAATGTGATATAACAATCTGGAATAATTAATGAATAATTTCCGAGATACTGCTATTCAGAATGTCAGATTGTTGATTTTCGCTTCACTGGCAAAATTCGCCATGCAAGAGAGTCAGTCGTTGCCGCGTTATCCAATGATACATTCGCGTCACCTGGTACTCGACTCTTCTCGCATGTGTGTAAGAGAGAAGAAGAGAGAAAAAGAATCGGTCAATGGACAAATTGAAAAGACACGCGCAGCCGTTTCTCCTTCCTTTCGCACTCTCGTTAATAATAAGATTAAAAAGAAATTCAATTGATATTTCAGAATATTTAACGAATGTAAGTAATTATTCAATGAATTTGTAACATAGTATTTGTCGCACGGATTTTCAAAGTTTAATAATAAAATCGATATGATCACGAAATATGTCATACCTACTAATTGCATAAGCTTGTTCTAAGTAAAAAAGCTATATTTATGTTTTTATTTATTATATTTTTATCTATATTTATATCTTTTATAAAAAGAGGAATGAAGAAGTTAGGGAACAGTTCTCTGTATAAATATGAGTACGCACTTCCTATTAAAAACTACATTCATTTATACAAAAATATACATTATCGCATGTAAGTGCGAAGAATCGCAATATAAATGGATCAATCTTAAAGATACTGTCAGTTCTAGTTTAGGTCCTACAACTAGCGCTCGCCCTTCTCGGCGTTCTCTCTCTCTCTATCTCTCGTATCCTCTTCCATATCCGCTAATTAAATTAACCGGTCGCAACGGTACAACCGTTGCGCGACGTACGCACGCACGCACGCACGTACGTACGTACGCATATTGCGTCGACCGATCTGCACCGATGAGCTGTGCACATATCCTCTGCATATGAACGCCGTACGTCGCGCCGACCGGCCGCAATATATTACCGCGCGCGATGTCTCGTGCAATTTACGTATGATTATGCAGATGCGCCCACGTACGGTCCACGCGGCGCGTGAAGGGGTCGGGACAGGAAGAGAAAGGGCCAGAGAGCGGCGAGAAAAGAAAGGAGGGTGTAACTCGTATAGTATTTCGCGAATAAGTCTCTGGATTTTTTTTCTAATTATTTTTCTTACGTCTATATTTTTTTATTACATTTTTCTATAATCAGATTTTTAATTGATGTGATATTTCATAAATAAAGATGTAGATTGTAAATATTAACAAGCATTTTGGCAAAAATAAAAAAATAAAAAGATTGAAAAAATATAATGCATATGATATATATAGCGCGTATAAATAAGATGGTCGCAGAATCGATTTTACGGTTCTCTCGCTCCTTCAGCTTCTCGTTGTCTTGTTGAGAAGCACTTCGCATTGACAGGCAGCCGAAGCAGAGACTCGATCGAGTGACTCGATTAGTCCATTAATCTCGCATTTGCTGTTTATCTTACAGGAGCATCAACAAGTTTTATGCATCAGTTGACACGTTGCCCGCAAAATACGCATACGATTTAGTTGAAAAGCATTTTGGTTTTTAAAGCTGATACTGCAAACTTTTCTCGCTTTGAACTAAGACTTAGAAAAATAGCTTCGTGTGCAATTTAGATCGTTACGAGATTTTCTAGAAAATAATAATTAATGGAAAAAATATTTTTTAAATTATTTTTATACATACGTAAAAACACATTTAAAACACACAAATGATTACTTGATTAATTTATTACAGAAATACGAACTTTGTTTTTGAAATGTGCAATTTATTTTTTCGAGACACAAGCTATAAAATATTCGTTCACGTAATTATATTCGTTTACTTCGGTCTGCGCAAATCGTCAGAAAGTGCAGGTCGACGAACCTGCGAGAGTCACTCTCGCAGGCCGAGCACAGAAACGACATTTCCGGCGGTGCGCGAAAGCAGTTTTTTTTTCTTTTCTTAGGAGAGGACATGTTTACCTGTATAAAACTCGATGGCTAACCAATCGGGTCACGTGTGTCTGCTTAGTAGAGAACCGGCCGTGCGACGACAGTGTAATTGCCTCTTTAAAGTTAAACCGACCTAAAGCATGCTTTTCCGTCTTGGTCGTTCGCGCCTTCTCTAAACGCTCTCGGGACATTCCGCAGACCACAAGGCGGATTTCTCTGTAATTTTTTAAGTACACATGAGTTCTCTCTCTTTGCAGCAAACAGAGGTTTCGCTTACGGAAATTAACGTGATGTAAACAGCATGCGCAAAGCGGAAATTTGTATCATAATTCAATAATTGTCAGATATTAAAAAGTATAACTACTGCCACAATAAGCAACATAAAATTATTCAATTACATATAATACTATGAATTTTTTTATTATTTAATGATTTATTTTTTAAAGAATTTTTGACAATACAATTTTTTCAATTTCAAATAAATATTTTCTATACTTGTATCTATTATTTTCCTGCATTGGAAAATGTGTCTCTTTTTCTAGTCACGCTCTCCCTCAGGATATAACATTTCTCGTTGTAATAGAATAAAATTCAATTTAGAATGAAATTTCAAAGAACTCTTTTTTTATTCATACGTTATCGGTCGCGCGATATAATACGTATCATGCATTTCGCGATAACAGGAAGAGCAGCAGCAGAGGGGAAAATACGAGCGGGCACACAGATAGCGGTCCCCGGTGTGTACAATATGCCGTGTAACCGTGCGGCCCATTAATCCGCGCGTGTCGCATTGATCTATCATTGTCCTGTAACCCACGGGTGATATACACGCATCTGAGGTTGATACATAATAGATCGCAAAGCGCGCGACCCGACACGACGCAAATAGCGGCTACAAACCTGAATATACGAATATATGTATGCGTATATACATACACACATATACATATACACACGCACGCGGCAAATGTTCTCGAATGCATGACGTTCGTGGGTTGCGCCATATACATATGTCGCCGCGATATATAAAAAAATCCAGTAACCCAGTTCTGCCTTTAACCCTATCAGTGAATGATACGTTGCACCCGATTGTGCTATGCACACGAATATGCAGTACCGGGTGCATTGATTTGCGCGAATAAAAAACATTGCCATTTGAATGAAGATATAAAAGCGAAAATATCTTGAGCATTACGCAAAAATATTTGTTTGGGCAATTATTCTGATATACTATAATAGATATGAGTGAAAAAGAAAGTTTTAAAGAAAAATTAAAATTAAATCTTATAATTAGATGAATGCGAGCTTATTTTAAATTTGAATCTCGCTTTATATTATTCTTAAGATAATTTTGATGAAAATCAGATTCACAAGATCATGGTGAAAGTTAAATATATAATTTAGATGTCTGTGTTTTGATAAATTTTTCTCAATTCTTTTCTCCATTTGAAAAAAATTTATTGATTTACTTTGGTAACATACTACTTATTTTTTTATTATAGAGATATACTTTAATGTCTTTTTCTTATATATATTATCTGAATTATTTTGTAAATTTGATTAGCATCAGTAAAACCAGGGTTATTTATATTTATAATATTCTAGCATTGCGCTACCTCTGAAATATTCTTTTGTAACGGAAGATGATTTAGCGATATTTCTTTACATTGAGGTTCTATTGTAAATAACAGAATATATTACTAGCGTGCCGTTCTTATTTTCCTAATATTTAAAATTTATTATATAGTTATCGAGAAACTTTAATAATTTCGAGAATCCCCCCATATAGATTTCAATTTCCAAAGTATAAAGAATATGCTCAAATAATGAGATATCAATAATCCAAATTCGTGTAGATCATCCTTCTCGTTTAACAATAATGATTTTGATTTGCATGGAATGCCTTAATCTGAATTTGTCGTTGAAAAATTAAATTACGATCAATCCACGTTGTTATCCAATTTAATTCGGTCTAAAGATCGACGTATCCGCAAATTGATTTGTGTACTTTGTAGACGGCGTTATTTATATCGCGATATATACTCTGCAATCTCAAACAGCCGCTGCAACAGGCGGCAATTTGATGTCGCGACTCAGGTGTGAACTTCATTTCGATAAAATTATTTTATCGACTTCGCTACGCACAGACGCGCATAAGCGACAAGTCGTGCGATCTCGCTTCTCTCCACAATTTCTATTCTATGCATTTCTCCGCCACTTTACCGTGCATAAAGTGACTATCGGACGCATGTGTATATGCGTGGTTATCCCGCTCGCAGAAACTAGCGGTTTGCGGCGTCGCGACCAGTTCTTGAATGAGGCTGCGAGTGGACTTAGGCACCGTTTGGAAAACCTGAATCCTGTATCGCATACATGCACGAGTTTTATTTCGAATCGAAGGTGTATATTATTGATACACGCGCACATTTTTGTCTTAAAATTGTTTTATTTTATTAAGAACGTATTCGTATATAAAAATAATTAAAAACACGAATTTTGTGTACTCAAATTTTATGCCTTATAAAATTTTATGTCTTTTATTTAAAAATAACCTAGATAATTTCATTATACATATAATAAATTTATTATATATATATAAAATAATCTTTTACGCCTTACTTGTACATTAGTGAAGAACGAACTTGGTGAATGTCGAGATCATAAAAGAATTTGCAACACAAAAAAGGCGTTACAGAATATTCGGATTTCAAAGATCTCAGCCTTTGCACAGCACAAAATCCTCTAAGCAAATAGGCAAATATCGAGAGGACAGACGCATTGCGTTGAAAGCTTCTTACTAGCTCATTATGCGGAACGCAAGGATGCATTATACAAATGTATTCCTCGATGCGTTCGAGGTAGACTTTTCTCCGGCGGAAATTTAAATGAGAATAATTTAACACAGCGCTAGAAATTTATCTTACAAAGTGACTTCCGAGTTTCACGAGGAGTTTGACGCATTCACATTGTACCGTCACTATATATACATATATATATATATATATATATATATATATACTTTTGCTGCTATCATCTACGACATTTTTTTAGATAAACTTAGCAGCTTAATATTCATCGCGATTATTCCGCAGTGATTTTAATTACTTTATTTAATTAATCCACCAGCGAAATTGACGAATGTCGAAATTTGCCAAAGAGCTTTTGAATCAGAGAGAATATGAAAGAGAGGAGGGAAAGAGAAAGAGAGAAAAAGGATAAAGCTCGTTGGTGCTTTTCGAACTCGGGAGGTCTAAACCGCGCCCTTGGTTTTAATGGCAAGCGAACTTTCCTACTCTCCGAGTTTGAAGTTCCAGGTAACTCGATTAATGGATACTCGGTTTGCCCGGGATTACTCGCGGCCGTGTAATTGAGTCTAATTCACACCGTGGCGCACCCGTGACTAATGATAAGGCAAGCATACCTGAAATTTAGTTTGTCGGACTCGGACGGCTTTTCCTTTTTCTTTCTTCTTTTTTTCCTGCCCCTCCATCCCTTTTTCGTTTCATCCCTCGTTAATCCCGTAAACCCCGCGTTGCTCTCGCGCGCGTTGTGATTAAGTGGCGATTTAAACTTCGTAATGTATTTAAAATAGTTTCCGTCGCGCGCGCGTACGCGCCAGGTATCGGCTGAATTTTCGCGAAGCAATTCGCTTCTCCGCTGACGACGATCGCGATCGACGTGTGACCAGTTACGGGATAATTGGCGGTGTGCATGGCGAAAGGGAAGGACGTTAACATTTTTTTCCATCTCCCTCGTGTTCACGAAATTCACGAAAAAATATATAGCTGTTCTTTTTCTCTACGATCGATCGAAATGACTTTCATGTGACAAGCAGAAAATTGGCAATTCGGGGCTTATTTATGCGAGATAAATTGTTACACCTGTTTTCTAAATGCTGAATTTAATAAACGAAATTAATTCGTTTCGGAGACGATTTATAATCATCTTTAATATGCTGACATAAAACACGTATATGCGAATATATGTTTGTCAATATATTATATATTCTCTCTCTTTCTAATTTATTCGTGTAAAATATTAAGATTGATGTCGTTATCATTATGCTTCATTGACAAATTATATGTTGTCATATAAAAAATAATAATTGACGAGGAGAATATACGGTCTCTCTGACTAAGACTAAACTATTAACAAGATGAACTTAATAATCACGTTAAATTAACGATGTTCTACGTAGATGTAATTTCGAAACACGCGAATATCACAATCGCGAAGATAATATCGTTTTTCACCTGAAATATAGATACGAATATTATTCACCATTTTTACACGCCGCTTCTCGAAATACGTGTATATATATATAGTCACCTCAAACATTATACTTTCTGCGGTCGACGTTACTGAATATCTTCCGCGCTCTTCAAACTATCGCAAGTATTGTGCGACGAAAGTACGTTAGAAGTCTAAAATTACCCAGCCATTCTGCGGGATCTATTACTGTGTCGTAAACCTTCCATTATATTACGTGCCGCAAATACGATTTTTCGCGACGTCGCGCGCAGTCAAAAATGTGGGACGCGCTTAATAAATCGCGATATGTCAAAACAGTCTGGCGCTCTCAAACTTGAAAGCCCTAGTCGATATTTATACAAGACGAAATGAATTTACAAATATATATGTTACTCGAGTTATAAGTGTCAAGAATAATTTTCTCGTATACGTATATTGAAAGCATATATCAGTTTGAAAATTTCCAAAAGCAACACATACGGAACAATGCAGTCGCGTCGTGCAACCGGATGTCGCGTATTAAGACGAATTAGCGTCATTTATTTAGAGGGAAAAACCAGAAGGATAATATCCAGTCGCGTACGATATAACGAGTAGTGGTAATAATAAGGCCCGGTCTGAATCCAGTCCTTAGACAACTTCCCGCGGGCAAATTCTTCGTCTATCGACCCATCTAAGGGCTACCTTTAAACTTTCGCGATCTCAGCCGAACCTTGTAATCATGCGTATATTCCTTCAATTATCATATGCCTGTGTGATCTCCAATTCGTCGGTATAGTATTGTCTACGAACATGCCACCAGTTAATTTTGCAAAGTCGAATTTATTTTATTTGTTTTTTGTTTCAATTTTTCAAGCTCCCTTTTTAATAGACAATATTTTGTTGTATCTTTTTCTGGAAGCATAAAATAGCAGCAGTTAGATATATAATTATTTATTTGTTCGTATACAATTAGATCCAGAAAA